GAAGAGTATAAAGATTTCTCTGTGCCACTCTCACAACTTTTCTGTAAATCTGAAACTGTTTCAAAGAGTTGACACAAGAAGGATAAAGATTTCGGATTATTAAACTTGAGAAAGATAATTCAGAGACAACCTAGAAAACAGTGCCTGGTGATGAGGGGGCAGGTGGCCACCTGTTGTCACCTCTGGCTGAGATCACGTCAAGACGAGCTACCGCATGTTCATCCGTAAGAATTTCTTCCCCTGAAGCCGGTTAACAGGGTAACCTACAATCACCCCATTCTGATACTAAACTAGTGGCACAGAACCATCTCTTCTGGTCAATTGAGAATTTAAAAATCAGGGAAACACCTGTTTATTGGCAGAAAGGAGAGGGTGGGGCTGTGTGTTGCCCCGTTTTTCACTTTTTCCTTAGAGAGTAGAGGGATTTAACACTTTAAAGGTACTGCATGACAGTAACATCTCCTCAGTGATAGAAATAACACTATGGATGGTGCAGAATAAATTAATCACTGACATTTGTAAAAAAAAAAAAAAAGTTTTCATTCATAGAGTACGCTGAGCCGGGAACATATTGCCAACAACTGCGAAACGTGGGAAATTCTCCCCACCTGCCGGCTTAGAAGACCCGCCAGCTTCCCGGCTGCTGGCAAGAGACTGAGGCTCCCGGGCCAGAGAGCAGGGGCTGGCAACTCACAGCAGGAGGAGGCACCAGAGCCCCGGCGTCTGTGTTGATACCCCAGGCCCCGACCTCCACACGCAGCCCGGAGCAGGCCAGGTGATGCCTGCATGCAGGGTGTCGTGTCCTGGGAGAGGAAGCAGGGTTTGGGGAACCTGAGTCTCCAATAAACACACGGCAAGCCGGCCTGACCTTTGCTTCGGTGAGACATACCTCGATTACACGGGTCAGTAAGAAAAGCATCACTTGGCTCTGGAGGAAGATGTCCTCTCTCCCGAGGTCGAATTCTCTTCAAACTGCCTCAAAGAGATCGCGGGCCAGAGGTGGCCAGTGCTTTACCCCTCACGCTTGCAGAAGTGAGACAGAGCCCTGGACAACTACCTCCCGATACACCACAGCTCACTGGTTAAGAACAGGTCCTCGAGCTGGGAAGGAAGACATCTAATCAACTAATTTTACAGACCAGAGAAGTGAACCGAACTGCCTAGAGACAGGCGGCCTGTCAGCGCCCTGGCTAATCTGACCGGAGGCCCCAAGGCCTGACTTCCCAGCTCTGCCCAAGCCCAAGACGCACCGTAAACTCATGCCCTTGACTGTGTTTGAATATCAGTAGCAATGTTACACCACCAAAAAGCCACGCATTCTGGAAAAACTCGGCTGGGCCATTTTAAATAGTTGCGGTCCACAGTAGAGGGAACAAATGGGCCACAATCTGATCACTTCTGAAAGAACAGCCCCCTTCCCCCACCTGCCATATTTTAAACACTAATAGAGCAATATTCTCTCTACAAACAAGCAATAAGAGCAAACTTCTTACCATTCCCTCTGAGCAAAGCCCAGGAAAAAATAAAAATCACCTTAGCTGTTTCAGATTTACGTAAATCTGAGTGATGATCTTTTAATGTTAAAAATTTGTATCTTCATGAGTTATCGATATTCTTCTGCAAAGAGGAAACTCCGTGGGAAGAACGGAAACCCACCTCCTTTTCAGAGTTCCGCACCTGCACTAATGCACGCACCTCTTGCGCATAAATACTGGTGTTCTTGTAAAACTCAAGCTCACAAACGGCAATGGGTAGGAATTACAAGATACTGTTCTGGAGAAACACTCGCTAGTTCAATGCTGACACTGGATGAGATGGAAAGTTGATGCAAGGATGGGAACTACTCACTTTGGGACCGATTCTCCTCGTCCTGTCAGTAGCGTGCTGTCAGAGGATAAGGAGACGTTTGAGGGACTTCCT